AAACAGTCTACACAATAACACTTGAACTGTCATTATATTTCTTTGCAGAAGCCATGATGGACTGTCCTTAAAAAAGTATACATAGATTATTTCTATTTCATACACAGCAGCAACTTCCAGCCAGACCCCACAGAACAATGACTTAATTGGGCTATTAGGTAGACAGCTCACATGACCATATTTACCATATTTTCTTACTCTGTTTGCAAGGATAACTAATTAGAAGCAGCTCATCCAAACATATTAGAAAAGAGCTGAACACGACACCTGCTGTGCCTGGTCTGTGTGCTGCATACACAAACAGTGCAGAATTGCACAGTGGAGAAAGTCAACACGTGGCTAATGAGTGACTGCATTTGCAGAATAACAAGCTTTTGGCATTTCACATAGACTGAGGAAAGTGGAGGTTAACAGTTTTGAAATTATCTATTTTATACTAAAAGCCAAAACAGCAGCTTTCTTTTTGATTTTTGTTCTACTCTGCATTGTGATATAAAACTGAAATAAAGGAATAAGAAGGATGTCCTTTGTGATATACTTAGAGAAATATTTGTAAGGGGGCATCCTCATGTCTGCCAGGACAGAAAATGGTGTAACAGTTCTGCAGGGTTTATACCAAAGGTACGTCCAGCCTAACAGCTAATACGTAGAAAGGAGCACATCGGAGTACTCATGTGATACGTTCCCAGAATACCTTTCCATTTGCAATTTGCAATTTCCAAAGCAATTTGCGCTTTATTGGCTTCCAGAGGAGATGTTGCAGGCTTTGTATATGGTGACCTTTAATGGATACTGTTCCACAAATGTTTGGTTGCTTTTTGAATGCATATACCCTAGCAATATCCACACCACCCCTTGGCAAGTGATTTCTTGCAATCATTAAACTTTACTTTGGATGAGGAGATACCTCTTTTTCCTCTTACTTGAAACCTCCCTAATTCTAATCTGGCGTGATGAACAATTCTTCTTCTCTGGGAAGAGCAGTCAAACAGTCAATACCTCCTCATCATTTCCAGGCCACTCACAATTTTGTAGGACTCAGTCGCTCTCTACTTATCTGCTTTTCAGACTGAAGGGTCCTGCTCTTAGTGGGAAAGTTCTTCTACACCCTGTTGGCTTTCACTAGACCTCTTCTATTTTTGTTTCATCCTTTTTGGGTTGAAAGAATAGAACTGCACCATGTTTATAATGGGAGTGTTCCATGGAAGTACTCAGTGACATACTGATATAGTCTGCCGTCTACATCTTTGCTAGTAACTCTCTGCACTATCATTGCTTTCTGAGCAAGCTAGTGAGCTGATGCATCTGCATGGTAATAAGAAATTTCTGATTTGTGAGATATATTAGTTTGTTTGGAATCCATTGGTTAATATTTAAATTGGAAGTGCATATTTCCATGAACACCACTTAAAATTGAATTTCAACTCTCATTTGAAATTCCAGTTACTCAATCCAGTAAGGTCTATATGCAATTTATTCTTCCTGTCCTCTATAAACCAATATAATTGTAGGACTTTCTCACCTTGCTGCTTGTGCCCTTCCAATTTTTTTTATGACTGTGCTGAATAGCTGATCTCATCACATCAGCCTTACCACATTTCACCATAACATGCTGCTGATGTTTCTCTCCACAGTTAAAAATAACCTTTTTCTTTTATTGTATATTAACTATTAAATTATCTGTGGAATTGTCTTCCCTTGAATGCAAAGGTTGCCTCATTTCCTTGAGAGCTTTCTGGAAATCCAGGAAGACTAAATCAGACTGCACCTTTAAAAGTTCCAAGAGATTTATGAGATGTGACTTCCTTTACAAAAAACACCGATCCTCTGAAGTGTGTAATTTATCTACACGTGCACTAATTCTTCTACCAGTTCTATAATGTAGCTCTGCAGCAACAGACGACTCACTGATCGAGTTTCCTGAATCTGCCCTGGAATTCCTTTTAGCAAAAGCATCAAGGAAGTTTATCCAGATAATTTTAACATGTTAGGAAAAATCCATGTGGTAATCCAAACAAGTACAGATATTTATAGGTTTCTTGCTGAAATCCTGTACAGGTTGCATGAGGAAAATCATGCACTAGCTTGCAAAGTCTTCTGCATTGTCCTTCATGAACTAACAGTAGTAGTATAAGCAGAAGTGGAGAAATAAGAAAAATCTAATAGAAAAAGAATAAAAGATTCTCAAAAACCAACTGCAGGTTCAAGGGAGCCTGTCTTTGTAGCAATGATTACAGATACATTAAATATGTATGTTCCTCCAGATTCAGTATTTTCTAAAAGGGTATGTCAGCTGGAGATGATAACTCCTATGTTATTTCACTTTATCACTGTGAGAAAAAAAAAATTCATTAATGCTTGAGCCATGTGAGTATCCTGTGATGCCCTCAGAGGGGATGCAAGGCACCATAAAGCAGTAATTGACTGATAAAGCAGATACATTTCATCTCATATTACAAATATAATACTAGAAAACAAAGTAATGAGGGCATATTGTCAGAGGTCACAAGATCCCTCTACCTCTGCTCAGCTGGTATTTCAGATGCTCCAGTACTCTGTGAATTGGGCTTTGTGAACATTTGCAAAAATGCTGACCAAACACTGCAAGAGTTTTTCTGGGAACTCTGTTTTGAAAACAGAATTATTATGAGTCTACACTTCTCTTAAAAGCACAGTGACTTGGAGATTCTCCTTGTTACTTAAATATTTCAATTAGAATATTAGTTATTGTCACTGACGACAACTGGAAATGCTGCAACAGAAAATGACACTTTATATTAGCTCAAACTCATCAGTGCAAGCCCATAAAGAGTGATTAAAATTTGAAAAGAGAGCCATACATTCTGAAGTTTGCATTCATTGGAATACTGCTGCAAAAAATGAATGTCAAGTGACTTTACTGCTGCGGAGACAGTTGATCAGTGGGGCACTACCACAAAACTGTGATGTGTAACTAATACATAACTAACTAACCTTTTAGTAGGCATTGCAGTGGGAAATAGAAGCTTTAATATTGGGAAGGTCTTTGCTGTCCTCCTCTGATATGCTGGAAAAATTAATATCTGCTGTTGTTGTTCTGGGAATTAATATAGTCCAGGACAAACTGCCAAATATAAAAAAGTTCTAGGCAATCTAAATATATTATCTCATCATTACTGTTACCCGCTGATGACTTAAGCTCCTGACTAAAACAAACCTGTGCATAATCATCTTGAAAACTACAGAGAAAAAATGTCAAAAATTAGAAGAAAAATATTTCTTTAATAGTGGTGATTTTCTAAAGCATAGTTTAAAATCTTCCTGAAAGATCTAAGAGCATCTATCCAGTTACTGCCAAAGAGAACTAGATGTTTCACCCTTAGGGTTTACACTGCATGTGTGCAAAAACTTCTCATACTTTGTGTGTGGCCAAAGATCGACTAATGCTGATAAAGCATCTCTTTGGACAAGCAAATGGAAAATAAATCCATCAAATTGAATTAAGTAAAAAGACACGTCTTCCTGCTCAGTGAGTCTCTGAGCCACAAAATGCTGCAGACTGGGATAGCACTTAGAAGACATGTTGTTACATAATGGCCCCACAATTACATTCCCCCTATGTCTAGTGTGGGTTATTGGTTTTCCCTTAAGCACAGGAACCAGTCCCCACAGAACACCAAACAAGGGTAGAGAAATACCAAAAGGGAGAAGTAGAGGCAGCAAGCTCAGGAAAAAGCACAGGTGACCCCACAGAAGATAAATGTAAAAAGGATGGGGTGAAGGATTAAAGACTCAAAAATGGAAAATAGCTAGAGGAGGTGCTTAGCTGAGATTTCCAGCAGTGCCCATTGCTCTGCAAAATGTATGAGGAAGCAGTGGATGCTGCCAGGATACTCTACTTGGACACATGACAGAACAAAGGAACAGAAATAGGATCCACACTTGCTGAGGTCTCCTCTTGTCATGCTGCTTTTTTCCACTGCAGTGGGTGGTCGGTTTGGTCTGGACAAGGAGACCATGAATAAGGACATCAGGCATTAAAAAACAAGGAGTACAAGTGCAGCCAGAACTTCAGCAACAGGACTAGATTCAAAGGAAAGACTGCAACCTGAAGGACTCAATCAGTATACTCCCCTTTGCCTTGAATTGGATGGCACAGATGTGCCCATCACTCCACAGCTGAGTTTCCAACTCCTCTGATCTGTAGAAGAACATACATCAAACTTAGGTCATATTCTAGCACCCCAAATCACAAATCTAATAATGAGAAATTTTTGTTTTACAACCTTGAAAAAAATTGTCCAAGATAATGTTCTGTACTATATAGTGGGTTTTCCAGTCACATGAGATAGAAGGAAGCTGTTCTGAAAGCTTGGTTACTGTGAATTGAGAAATGCAGAGGGTATATTGCTGGTGCGTAAAATGTGACATTTGGGATATTTGTGTTAGCTGTGAAACAAACTTAATGTTTCTGTGGTTGATCATCCTGTTAAAATTATTTAAATTAAAATTCTTCCTGTAATAGTACTTTTGTGTCTCTCGGGAATTGTAATAGTTGTTTCATTACTGTTTGTAGAGCACATTTGGATATCTTCACCAAAAGAAGTTGAAATGGTAGGTACAATTTTATTCCAATTCTTTGCTATTGAGTGTGACTGTAACACCACAAGATCTAAATACCATCTACCATACTATAGAGCTTTCTCTTCCTTATTTGAAAGTGGCATTACTACCAAAATTTATTTTTAGAAACGACTACATTTTTTTTACTTTTGTCTCTTTAGCTGCCTTCATTCTGACAGCATTGTCTCCCAAATGCACCCCCTTTTTGGCAAGTATGTGTCTTCATTTACATGGCAACACTATCAGAAACAATAAAAAGTTGCAGTTTGGGAACTCTGCTGTATATGGATAAGATTTTTAGCTGTGCCTTTAGATGCAAATGATAGAATTACTTACTTCTTCAGCATACTGGTGAGAAATACTTTGAGCTGGTTGGATGAAGTTCAATCTTAATTTAGGTCACTAATGTTAATTTAACATTATATTTCTGATAGGCTGGAAAGAATAGCTAAAATAATATTGCCTCCCCAACATTACTAAAGCAGTCATTTTCAGGAAATGACATAAAATGGAGATGAATTCAAATTAAAATTGAGTCTGAGTAGCTGCAAATATTGCAAGTGTTGGGAGTTCAGAATACAAACTTTACATCATCTGTTAATTTGACCCTGAATGTATGAGTTGGGCTAAATGCATGCACCTGAGAACCACATCAATCAGCTCTCATATTTGTCCTCTTCCTCCATCAAGATCTAGTGCCCATTCCCTCTGCCTTCAACTTTGAATCCTGATGTACATGTTACCACAGCTGTGGTGTGTCTCTCACTTGGAAGTCTGCCCCCTGTGGTCCTTATATCCAAGGCGCAGAGGAACAGATGCGTGAGATGGGAGCTGCTACAGGCATTGGACCATATGATCACAGTCTGCCAGTGGCTCATACAAGCTCATTTTCCTTCTCTGTATGAATAAAGAGTGCTTTGTTTGCACTGCAGAATCAAAGACTACATGCAGGCATTTCCCATGGTATAGTGGGACTGCAGAAACTTGGCAGGAGGAGAAGTCAGCACCAAATACGCTGTCTGGCTCCAAGCAGCCTGTACAGTGGTCTGCATCCCAGAACCATTTAGGATTGCAGACCAGGAAGAATAATGAGATTTTTCTTTCAAAGCAGAAGACCGTGGAAAGGAGCTTATATCTACCTGTCTTCTCTGTGGGAACCTGATCAGCGGGGAGAAGAAAAAAAAAAAAAAAAAAGAAAGAAAGAAAAACTGGAAAGGAGCCCAATACTGGAAAGAAGCCCAGTGCCCCAAAACAGCCAGTCTTCCTCCTCCAGGGTCTGGTATCCCACTCCTCTCCTCTTCCTGCTGCCTTGTCCTGCCTTCACATCTAGCTCTTGTCTCGTGGGCTCACCTCCACATCTCTTTGCTAAGAGCAGGGAATTAAAATCTCTTTTCTTGGCACATGCTGCTGTTGTCAAGGGAGAGCAGCTCTTTTCAAACACTGTCCCTTTACTCTGTGCAAACACAGCCCTTAACTGATTTTGCAAACAGCACAGACTGCTTTTCCGAGTGAAGTTTGCACTTTGTACCAAAACTTCGTGGGCACAAAAAAAAGCATTATTCTCAGGCCTTTCCACACTGCATGGCAAGAGCTGCCTGTGCTGACAGCAGTGAGCATTGCCAGCTGCGTGTGCTGAAAGATGAGGAGTTGTCCCACGCCAAGGAGCAAGGAGCGCTTCTCTTCCCAAGGATGTACTTCTGTGTTAGTAAGTAGCAGCTTCAGTTAAAAAAAAAAACATATTACAGAAGTATGTGATTGTAACTGGGAGTAGGGACTGTTACCAATCATCCCTAAATGCAAAAACATTGGAGTGCTTGATACAAGCTGCCACATGTGGTAGGACAAGACTGTACAGTCTGAAATCATGGACCCATATTTTAAGGCAGAAGCATATGGCGTTCTTTAAGCTGACCAAATTTTTATAACAATCTTTTGAAAGAGGTTTTAGAGACTGAATTTTTGAAGATGGAGAGACTGTCAGTTATTTTTCGCTTCAGAAATTAAAGGCAGGGTACACATAAGTTTTGAAAACAGAACACAAACCCCTAGTTTATTTTTCACTCCACAGCTTCAAGTACAGCAACATTTCGCTGCCAACTTCCATATGACAGCACAACACCTGAACCTAGATTTGAACCCTCTGAGAAGTACTTATTAATAGTCTTTAAATGAGCAATTAATAGAAAACTTTTGTTGCACAGAGCTTGCATGGACTATCTTAAACAGGAAAATTCGAAGTTTATAAACCTTGAGAAGGATTAAAGAATTTCTACACATATGTTTTGTTCATTTTTAGCAAATGTCTTGATACTTCTTATTGCAGATAGGTATTTCAGTTTTTCCTCTGGATTATTTAATTAAATCTGAAAGAACAGAGAGGGAAGGCTGATAGCAAGTTGTCAGTACTAGAAGGCATGGAAGAAATGAAATAATCTGTTTCCCCTTTGATGAAAGCTTTAGCATGTGACCGAAGTTTAAGGACATATGACACACTAGTGTTTGCATTACTTTCTTTTCTTTCTATCTTTGTCCCTAGTTGAGAATATTAACTAATGATGCACAGAAGTGAAAACAAGCTTGGTTTGCAGAAGACCTGTCCTTGCCCCTCACAGTATGTCTTCTTCTTTATACACTTCTGGTATATTTATGATGTACAGAGTTTTAACAAAAAGGCAGATCTTTGTTCAGAAGGTTTTTAGTGGTGCCAGGCTCCCCATCCTTTCCTCTTTCATATGAATCTATGTCTCTTTGTATATTAGTTTGGAGTCAACAGGATACCGCATCATTACTCTTCCAGAGGGTGACTTCCTTTGTTTTTCTGAAGGAGCCATGATTGCCACATTTCAGTAAACTGCTGCAACCAGTTCCTAATACTTACTTTTATGTAAGAACAAACTTAATACCACATATGGTGTCTTCTTAACTTTTTAAGTTGATATAGTCAGTGAACTTAACATCACAGTATTTGTTAAGGAAATTTCGATTTGTAAATCTCAGACATTGTCTGAACTAGCAATGCACCATGCCTGTTTTGTGAGTGGCAAAAATGGAAATTACATTGGTGACACCAGGAAGTTGTTCTTTCAAGCACTGAGCACTGCTGCTCCTGGTTCTTGGAGGTCCCATCACAAATGGTCCTGTACTGCATCAGTGATAGATTCCTACTCCTGCTAACTTTGTATCTTGACATATGTGAAGAAGACACATTATATAGTGTTTTCTTAGAATATATGTATAAAGAACCATTTCTTGGCAAATATTCTTAATAGGACCATAATTATATTCGCCAAACTTTAAGGCCAAAATCAACGATTATTAATATAAAGACACAAATAGAAATACTTTATTTATTGATTTCATTCTGCTCCATTATGTTGTACCATGCTGACTCAACCTATTTTATAGTGACTTTTTACTGAGGATGTAATAATTAGTATTCATCTTGTCATTTTTTAAGTTGATAAATCCATTATATTCAGTGTGTGACAATTACTAGAAATAAATTGAAATTCCATCAAATTAACTACTGTAGGTGTTATTCACTGTTTACTTGAAGACCTAAGAGTCATGCCTGTGACTGCAAGCTCAGTGGTAACTCTTATGACGAGCAGTCACTAACTAAGCATTTGAGAGGGGCAGGAGGGGGTGGGGTGGTGGCTAGGGCGGGGAGGTGGCATCTGCTGTATACCCCTGCAAGTGTACAGGTGGGTTTGGTTGGGTGGGCCAGACCTGGTTTGCAGAAATATTACAACTGCTAAGTTTTAAAATTGGGCACATTGCTACACATGTTTGAAACAGGGCACAAATAAACTGTTTGCTGTGCCCAGCCAGGGTTAAAACCTGCAGGGTGAGTGAGTTTAGGTCAGTTATAAAAGGACAGAAGAAGAGACAAAACAACAGTTTCCCCTGCTACTTGGCCCAGCTAAGCACTAATATTTCTGTCACAGCTCATATAGTACCTTCACAGAGGATTTTCTTCTTCCATTCCTAAATCCCAAAGGTCAGGAGTAACACTACCAAGAACCTCCTGCATCCCACATCTGCAGGAATGAATTGCTGAAGAATCACTGTTGAGCACGACTGAAGAGCAGCACATAACATAGGGCTTAGCAAGACAGATAGTCACTCAAAAGCTTAAGAGAAGAGCTCAGCTTTACCAAGGTGCCCAGAGGCAGCAGTTTTACTGACTGACCATTTGGGTGTTGCTGGTTTCATTGCTGCTCTTTGCCCAGTAAGGCTGTGTTCATGTTCAGGTCTGACCAACTGCCCAGCTGGACTAATATACCTTCCCAAGGGGCTGGCTGGCTGAGAGCTGGTGACTGAAGGCTCAGCAGGAACACTCAGAAAACAGGTCTGGTTCCTATTACTCCCATTCATCATAGGGTGACAAGGTATGTCCTCTTTTTCCTCTGGAGTGTAAGGAAAGATCATCTGATTTAATTTTTGTTTGATTGTTTTTTAGTTTATAGTGCTACACAGAATCATAAAATATGATGAGTTGGAAGGGACCCACAAGGATCATTGAGTCCAGTTCCTGGACCTCTGCAGGACACCCCAAGAAGCGCACCATGTGCCTGAGAACATTGTCCAAATGCCTCCTTGACACAGACAGGCTTGCTGCTGTAACCACTTCCCCAGGAAGCCTGTTCCAGTGCCCAGCCATGCTCTGGGTGAAGAACCTTTTCCTGATATCTAACCTAAACCTCCCCTGACTCAGCTTCATGCTGTTTCCTTGAGTCCTGTCATTGGTCATGAGGTTGAAGAGATCAGTACCTGCCCTTCCTCTTCCCCTCATGAGGATGTTGAAGACACAATCAGGTCTCCCTTCAATCTCCTCTTCTCCAGGCTTAATGAAGCCAAGTGACTGCAGCCGCTCGTTATATGGCTCCCCCTTCCAGATCCTTCACTATCTTCAAAGCCCTCCTTTGGACACTCTCTAATAGTTTTGTGTCTTCTTTTATTGCAGTGCCCAAAACTGCACATAATATTCAAGGTGAGGCCGCACCAGTGCAGAGCAAAGTGGGACAATCCCCTCCCTCAACTGGCTGGCGATACTTTGCCTGATACCCCTCAGGACACAGTTGGCCCTCCTGGCTGCCAGAGCACTGCTTGCCATCAACTTGCCATCAACCAGGACCTCCAGGTCCCTTTCCACCTTGCTACTCTCCACCATCTCATTCCCCATTCTACACACACAACCAGGGTTGCCCCACCCCAAGTGCAGAATCAGGCACTTTGCCTTGGTTGGTGATTATCCATCTCTCTAATTTGTTGAGGTCTCTCTGCAGGGCTTCTCTGCCCTTGAGGGAGTTGACAGCTCCTCCCAGTTTAGTGTTATTGGCAAACTTACTTAGTATTCCTTTGAGCCCTGCATCCAAGTTACTAATGAAGATATTGAAAAGAACTGGTCTGAGTATGGAGCTCTGTGGAACCCCACTAATGACCAGCCATCAGCCTGATGTTACCCCATTCACTGTAACTCTTGTGCTTGACCTGTGAGCCAGTTGCTCACCCATCATATAACATGGTAATCCAGCTGTGGGATGGACATTTTGTCCAGAAGGATGCTGTGTAAGACAATATGGAAAGCTTTGCTGAAGTCCAAAAAGATTATATCAACTGGCTTCCCTTGTTCAGCTAGGTGGATCATAGAAGGAAATCAGGTTTGACAAGCAGGACTTTCCCCTCACAAAACCATACTGGCTGTGACCAATGACTGCCTCATCCTCCCGGTGTTTTTCAATATCTCCCAGAATAATCTTTTCCATGACTTTACAGGGTATTGAAGTGAGCCTGACAAGCCTGTAGTTTCCGGAGTCCTCCTCCTCACCTTTCTTGAAAATCAGGACAATGCTTACTAGTTTCCAGTCAGCTAAGACCTCTCCAGATTCTCCAGAACACTCAGAAATCATCAAGAGAGGTTTTGTGATGACATCAGCCAGATCTTTGAGGATTCTGGGATGAATCCCATCAGGCCCCATAAATTTGTAGGAATCCAGCTGGAGCAGCAGATCCCATGCAAGTTAAGGGTCAACTGGAAGCCGATCATTCTTGCAGTCATGGTTGCCCAGCTCAGGGCACTGAGACTCCCTTGGTCCAACATCAGTGTTGAAGACAGAGGCAAAGAAAGCATTGAACACATTTGCCTTTCTTTGTCCCTGTTTGTGAAGTGACCATCCTCATCCTATAAGGGTCAATGATATTTCTATACTGCCTATTGCCATTAATGTATTTGAAAAAAAAATTTTATTATTCCTCACATTTCCAGCCACCTTCAACTTCAGTTCAGCAGTGGCTTCCATATTATTAATCATCAGTAATCCACATGGATAATTAAGGGAAAATAGCCTCAAGAGATGGAAATATCTAACAAATATGACCAGGGAATTCTTAAAATTAAAAATATGAAACACTCCCATTTTAAGTTGAACAAAATGGTTTCTCCAATCTGAAATAACTCTTTTGGAGGAATTCTTCCAATTCCTGTCAAAATGTTGCCCCTGAGCACTGAAATGAAAAATCCACTGCTCAGAGCAAGATTAGGTAGCTGAAATACAAGACACATTGCACCCCTGAGATGATAAACCGAAGTGTCTTGTCTTTCCTCTATCCTGCGAAGTGTTAGGAGTACAAATTAGGAATTCCTATGAGATATTGAGGAAAGTGATTAAACCGTTAGTGAATTTGCCCACATACCTGAACAGTAAGTATGAAAAGGAGAACAGATGCTAAAATACTTATAGACAGCTCTGGTTTATTTTTTCTTTCTTGGCTTCTGTGTACTACATTTTGATCTGACTGCACCAGCATTCACATTAAATGAGTTATTAGCCACTGTAATGGAAGCTAAATGGAATACTAAACACCTGGTTTCATCACTGCTCCTCCACACAGAGAGGAGATAAATATTTTCCTAGAGAATGAAATAAAGTAATAAAGCAGAGCAAATCCCTGGAGCACAGCTTCACTTGTCGCATAATAAATAACAGCATTGTTACAAATGATCATGCTTTTCCAGGTGTTGAGACTCTGCATGACATTGTGGCTATGAGAAAAAAGATTTTGGACGCACCAAAATGAACAAAGCGAGATTGAGAAATGTATCTCCTCTCTTTTTGTTCGCCAGTTCCCCATGTGGTCTGCTGCTTCTAAGTCAGGAGAGGTCCCCTACCCTTTCCCTGCTAATTCAGCTGCTGCAGGGAAGCCCCCAGAGCCTGTCCCTCATGTATGCTGCTCCAGAGCATGCAAGAGCACAGGGCAAGGGAGCCAGAGGCCCACAACAGTTCCTGTGGCATAGATTCTCCAAGCAATCCTTACCTCACCAAGCTCAGCAATTTTAGTTCCTTTGTATTATTTTATTCCTCATCCACAGCATAAGGAATGTTTGTGATTTTTTTGATGAAAAAAAATTGGCTTTAAGGAGGTGAGCAGGCTTCACTGATGACCCTGAGATTAGCTCAGTTGGTTAAAGCATGGTGCTAGTAATGCCAAGGTTGTGGGTTCGATCACCATTCACTTAAGAGTTTGACTTGATGATCCTTGTGACTCCCTTCCAACTTAGAATACTCTGTGATTCTGTGACATCAAAGTAGGTGAGACTTAGTTTATCTTAATACACTCTGTGAGAATTGCTACTAACCATAAATGCAATAATGAAGATAAAAGAATGGATAAACTGTTTAGTCTGAGAAAATGCGTGAGCTGGGGATTTCCAAGGTCTCTGAGGATGCAAATGTTTGGAAAAAAATTGACAAACAACTTGAGTTCAAAGGTGCAGTAGCTTCTGGTGAACAGGATGACTCCTTACTGAGCCTCAGGGGAGGCAGGGCTGTCTCCTTTGGTACATCTCTGGGAGATGTGCTGCGCACAGCACCTGCACTGCTGATGGACCTGCTTAAATGGAGTGAAAAGGTAATGTTGAGATCAAGTTCAAAAGAAACTAAAAAAAAAATCAGTGAAATATTGTGCTGGTCCTCATGTTCAGGGTGACTCAGGTGTTGGTCCTGAAGGTCAGGGAGTAGCATAATAATTCTGTTTTTTAGCCCACACTTGGTTAGAAAGAAAAGTAGAAAAGTGAGTTTTATCTTCACTGACAATTTCTACACTGTGTTTTTTCTGTTACCTGGTCTTGTTCAGTGGAATGGGAGACATCTGATTTTCATGTGCTTATCTGGGTGGAAGTGAGATCATCCCATAACGTCTGATACCTTTATAAACATGTTGGAAATATGTGATCCAGCCATACTAATCCTCCAAGAGAGTAATAAAAATTTCATAGGCATGAACAGAGGGAAGGAATATTTCTTAGTCATGCTTGTTTGGAAAGAAAGTCATAGAAGTTTTAGACAAGCAGTATTTCTCTAGTTACTTTACCATAAGAGTAAACTGGATCTGAGACAGAATTTTATGTCATTGTATGTGGACACTGGGGAGGTCAAGCAGGTCATAGATTGAATGTTTTGAGTACCCAGCATAGTTCTGGCAAGGGGGAAAAACAGTGACCTATTTTTCATGACCATTTTGTGTTGAACAAATCCTAGTAGATTGTGTTTTATCCCTCAGTTCCTTTGGGTAATTGGGCTGGGTAAGGAATAGCCAATGCCCCTGTTAGCATGAAATTTGCACTGTGAATGTTGGGAAATGTTTGGAGACATGCACCCCAGAACCGAATAGCTTTAAGGTTACACTGGGAAAGCCAGGATTCTACTGTAGATTCATGAATGAAGATTAACGTATAGAAAACAAACAGATTCCAAAGCCTTTAACGAAAGAGAAGAAAATATTGTACTCTTTGGTTACCCAGTCTCAAACTCTCAGACTTATGAAAGATCTCCTTAGGCAGAGTCAGCTCCAGTGCTATGGCCCCAAAGGCACTACAAATCCCAAATGTCCCTGCACAGCCTCTCCTGTGGCTATCAACACATCGCCCATGGCTCAGGACACCATTTCAACCCTTTCTGAAGGCACCTAGTCCTAGTTTGCACTGTGCTGGAGGAGTCCTGGTCTCCAGGACTGCTTCACGAATGGACCTCAGACCTACGCTGCAGCCTCATCTCCACCCTTGTTTCTGTCTTTGCCCTTTTTTGCTCCAGCCTGCATCCCCTGGATGGACTCTGAGCTTGGTTCATCAGTTTTTTTGCTTGGGACTGTCAAAGGGCCCTGACACCAACCTGATGCGTTCAGACCCTGTGAGACAGCACCAAGGAGGACCCCAGCTTCTTTTACCTTGTGGAGCAGCCCCACCCTCTCTACTTCCTGACATTGGATCATGTCTGGAGGTTAAACAGCTCCAGGTTGGTATAGAACAGTCCTTCAGCAATGTAAAATAACAGTAAGATGTACAAATGAGCCTCACAACACTAAGACCTTTTTTGCTCAACAGAAAAATACCTACTTTTTAAAATGACTGTGTTGTGTACTTTCATAAACAAATTTCTCATCTGAAGATTTTTTGTAAGCCTTTCATTCCTAGTTATTTATTCCTGACTATGGGATTTTCATGCAATAGTAATGTCCTAGAGTTTGTATATGACAACCTGTCACAAAAAAAAGTCATGCTAGATTAATCTGTCTCTGCTCAACCCATACTTGAACTTCCTCCTGTCACTGGACCAAGCAAGCAGCTGAGGTGTTGGTGTGTGCAACTTAGATGCTTTATTACATTTTTTCCTGTCTCTTGAAACTCAGCATTAAAATTCTAGGGTATGGCTTCTTAACAGAATAAATTATCTCTATCAAGTTTTCAGGCAAGGGTGAGGGAAAGATATTAATAATTCAAAGATTTCTGCTGTATTCAGAGTTTCAGAAGCCAGGTGTGTTGTTTGGTATTTTCCAAAAGGTCAAAGGCATGTAGTTACTGCCAATGAAAGATTTCATATTTGGGTTTTATGACTGCACTTTACAGCAAGTGAGCAATAAAAACCTGACAGTCAATGCATATTTCGAAAGTTTGATTCAACTTGCCTGATTCTCCTGGAGATTATTAGTTCAGCTATATCTACTAATCATGTGGCCAAGGAACTTTTTCTCTGAACTGTAGAACAGCTCAAGGAGAAGTGCAGCCTCAGGTTGACCTTTAGCAGTGTTTTCCAAGGACTTCTGTTACAAGAAAAAATATTCCAATACATTTTCAGAGTATCCCTAAGGATAAGTGGATGGGCTTTTCTTGTAGGATAGTAGTGTAGAGAAGAAGAACCAGTGTACTGTTGATTGGTCTGCTGCTTTGTGTCCTACAAGCTTATCTACCTCTAGCAACCTTCCAAAAGACAGACAATTAGCTAAAAATCGATTCTTTTATGGACGTTCAGAAGATTAATTTGAAAAAAAAATAAAATTGAATGATTTCTTACAATCTGGAGCTAACCTTTTTTTCATAGCGCTGACTTACTGCAAATTGAGCATGTGCTCAATTTAAAAAAAGATAAACTAATCTTAAATA